ACAATACAAGCTTAGTATTGTATTATCATAATATATTAAGTTCCAATCAAAACTAAGAAATAAACTGTTTTATCATGCCACAACTTCATCCCTACTATCTTTTCATAATTGTGTCAAAGGGTAAATGTCGTGCTTAAACCTTCCTCAATCTATAGTCCCAGCATACTAGGTTGGAGAAGCCAGTATTAGACAATTTGGCAAGACCAGTTATGTACATATGATTCCAGGACTCTTCAGATTCTTACAAATATATTTTATAACTGAGATCCTAAAAAAGAAAAACTACAATTCTTGCATCTGTAACACAAACTGGGAAACTGAAAATATAACAAAAGTAAACATCTTCATCAAACTGGTGGTTTAACTGTTCAATTTACAATAGCCGACAGACCTTTTTCTAACATCATAATGACAAGGAGAATATTAAAATGTTTAATTAGCTTTATTTTTCTTTTTTATTGATTTAGGATTTTGTAAACTTGCCTTCACAAGTTTACATGCAATCAAGAAATTCCATAAATCTGGATCAAGAATCAGAGTGCACACTATGGTCAACTTGACATATACTATGGTATTATAATCTATAGGAACTATGAAAAGGAAATAAATGCAAGATTTCCTGAGGGAAAAATGAAGATTTCAGGGGCTGCTAAGACAGATGTTCAAACTTCTGCACTTCTACATTTCTCATTCTAAATTTCAAAGGTAGACTCTAAAGTAGGAAAAAGGAGTAAGCCTATTATCTAAATTCAGTTTAAAGAGGACTGAAAGATTTACTTAAAATTAGGAAATCAGGAAAGCTCATTTGAAATTAAATATCCATTAAATTATTAAGCAATTATACCAACATTGGTCTTTGAATAGAATTACTTGATTAGGTTAATGCTGAAGTTTATTCAAAATGATATTCAGGATTGCTGTACTATCTAATAGTACTATTAAACTTTAATCTGTTGCTTGATTTAGACATATAAATGGTGAAAGCATAATATTTTAAAATCGTTTTTAAAAAATCTTTTTAAATCTTAGGTTTACAATCCCTTGCAGAGTAGAAAGTACTTCTTAGTCAAATGACTATGAAATGCCAGATTCTGGCATTTTGAAAACTAAATATGGCAGTAGTAATTCATGAATGAGTCTTTAAGAGAAAACAAAGAGAAACTTTTATTCTACTATGCCTGCTGCTACTTTGATCCAAATTGAGGGGATGGGGGGGGTGTCAAATTCATCATCTCTAACCCATATTTTTTACAAAGCAAATAAACATGCTTGATTCATATCATGTAGTGGATTCAAATCCTCCTACTTTCCTGCCACAATACTTGTAGAACATTTGGGGGCTTATTCCTAGATAACTTAGATAACCTGTGATCTCCAGTGACCTGCTTAACTCTTTACAACTCATCAACTAAACAATATCAAAGAAAAAGTATAATATCTTACTGGTAGCTTTAGGAGCAGTAGTTGGTGTAGTCGGTATCGGTTCTGTGAATACAATAAAACAATTAAACATGATGATAATTACTTTTGTTCAATCTATATACTACTAAAACTCTTGGGTCTGTTGGTTTGTAATCTTAATTGGGTGAATTGGAAAGTATAGGGCAACAGTTATTGAACCGAGGTAACTCATATGGGCTAACTTACAGAATGCTAAGGCCCCTGGAGAAGTTGTGGCCACTTCAGCACTACTGCGCCTTCCAACTATACTTCCCAGAATCCCATAGGTTGCATGGCACAGGGAAAGATAGTGTGGCTGTATCCCCACCCTGTTTCCCACCTCCCTCTGGCCTTTGCATCAGTCATCTGGTGGCAAGGCCCAACAGGCAAGAAGTGATTGGCTGCTTTGGAACCAAATCTGAAATCTTTTAGCAGCGATGGGTCAAATGGGAAGAACAAGGGTTGAGTGACCTAAACATATGAGATTGGATTACATATGGTGAGGCTTCTATTGAAATACAATCAGTACAGTTATCGAACAAACGAGTACAACCAAACTGGATTATATCCAGTGGTGGGATTCAAATATGTGAACAACCAGTTCTCTGTGTGGATGCCACTTCTGGATGTCCATTCTGGGCCTGGGCAACAAAAAATTAGCCACCGGTTCTGCCGAACTGGTGCAAACCGGCTGAATCCCACCACTGATTATATCAGTGCTGAAAGAGTTGTACTGAATACTTACTTTAAGGTTTACTTTTGAAATTCTAAATGGCTTGAAAGTAATGTCTGCATCCCATTTACCTATTTTTGAACTTTCTCTAAGCATTTCTCTAAGCACTTTGAATATATTATGTGACACAACTAGAGAGAATCTGTTCTATTGTACCACCTCTCTTGTTTGTGAAGATGCAACTGTTACACAGCCACTAGTCTAGCTCCATCTTAAAACATTGTTGATTCTCCCAGTCTAAATATTATATGAGTGATAAGGAGTGGTGTTCTGCTCTGTTGGATCTAATGCCATTTCCAGTTTATTGTATTATTGTTATATAGTTGTTTTTTTATTTTGTTTCATTTATTTAAATATCATTCAATTTCAGAAAGTTCAAAGACGGTAAAGTTTACGATCTTTGCAGCTTCCCCATGATCATGTGATCAAAATTCAGATGCTTGACAACTGGTTCATACTTATGACCGTTGCATTGTCCCAAGGTCATGTGATCACCTTTTGAGACCTTCTGACAAGCAAAGTCAATGGGGAAGCCGGATTCACTTAACAACTGTGGCAAGCATAAAATGGGGCAAAACTCACTTAGCAAATGTCTCACTTAACACAGAAATTTTGGGCTCAGTTGTGGTTGTAAGTCAAAGACTGCCTATAAAAATGAAGTGTGGAGAGCCACAGACATGACAGTGACAGTTAAATAAACGAAAGCATCCTTTAAGCTTTTGAAACTTCAAAAAGATGAGAAAAAAGGTAATATTGATTTATCCCTAATTCAGTATAATAAGAGAGAGAAGGAGAGACATCCTCGTCAGGTTTTCAAGAATCTGTTAATACAGCGAATAGCACTACAGTCCCAATTGGTTTCTTAATCTGCTTTATCCTATAGGGCTGACATCAGTCTTCAAGGCCTGACTGAGTTTTGCCCTCTTTCATTCCTTCAGATGCTAGCTGAAGAAAGTCACTCTGAGCTTCTTTCTCATGCTTTTGCTGTTTCCGGGGCTTAATGGGCAGCTTTCTTTAGGTAAACACTCTGCCTTGTTTCTCCAGCGTCAGTATGTGATTAATTACAATTATTAGTAGGAATTGACTGAAATGAATAATTTGTTATTACAAAATGTATAATATGCAATGTGAATAATGCAGAGAACGTCAAAAGCTATTTCTCTGATTGACAGATGAGGATCTCAGATGCAGACTTACCAGGGGTTGTCTCTATCACTGGAAGAGCAGGTGTAGAATAACCTGTTAAGAAAACAAAGTTAATCAAGCAATGGAATGAATAAATACAGGGGGACTAATATTGGGGGCAAAAAGAGATCATTATACCTGCTAAATGAAATTAGTCTTATTCATCTGTAAAAATGTATTAGAGTTTACACAACTCCTGCAACCAGGTCATTGATTAAAATATTGATAAATAAAGGGAAGAGAGCTCTGTGGCACTCAAGACCTCCCCTCCAAGCTTGAGTCATCCATGAGTCTTCTTTTGATACAGTCATTTGGCCAACTGTCAAGCTACTTAATAATAGCACTTGGGCATGTATACTGTATCTATTGCGTTCTCACCACAAAACTAATATTTATTTTTTAAAAAGATACAATAGTTTTTCATGAATCATCTTTGACAAAAGTGTCCTAGTTCTCATTCATTATAACAAGCCTAATCCTCACAACCTGTGGCTTAATATTCTGTTTGAGGAACATTATAGATGTCAAACTGGATGTATTTAGCATAATAATAATAATAATAATAATAATAATAATAATAATAATAATAATAATAATAATAATAATAATAATAATAATAATAACAACAACAACAACAATAATAAAGTTGGAAGAGACCTGGGAGGTTATCTACTCCGTAGTTCTAGGTTGCTTCTCTCCTTAATTAGTTTCCATCCATTGCTTCTTGTCCTGCTTTCAGGTGCTTTGGAGAATAGCTTGACTCCCTCTTTTTTGTGGCAGCCCCTGAGGTATTGGAACACTGCTATCATGTCCCCCCTCATCCTTCTCTTCATTAAACTAGACATATCCAATTCCAGCAGCCGTTCCATATATGCTTTAGCCTCCAGTCACCTAATCATCTTTGTTGCCTAGGAAGTGCTTTTTTTCTCTTGGAAAACTATAGATTGAGAGTACAAACTGTATTAGCTTTTTTGGTGGCGGCTGGACACTGCTTGCTCATATTCAAATATCTTTTGTAGTAATCTGCTTATTCATATCACTTAGTTACTAAGGAAGGATCTTTGCATACTAGAGATTTAAATGTTTATAATACGAAACAACCACTGTCATGACTCAATGAAGTCTTTTTTCCTCAATGATCTATCCTCTATCAGTGATGGCTAGATTAGTCTTTGAGATGACAGCCACATGTATGGAGCCAATACTTTCCCTGAACTTCTAGATGTAGAGAGGCTAATGTTAATTAAGCTAATTATTATTATTATTATTAAAAAAGAAATCCAGTTGGAAGTTATGAAACCTATCATTGATGCATGTAAGTTTATTAGAAAGTTTCAGGTTTGGAATGGAAAAAAGAAGTTGGCTGCTCACCAAATGTTGTTTCCATCAAACCTGTTCATAAAGAAAGGATATTTAAATGACACTGTGTTGATTTTATCGTTCTTCTATTTATCCAGTCATATATTTCAGTGAATAATTTATAAAAACTAGAATAACTGTCTCTTTATTAGATTTATAATCATCGTCATCATCTATTTACAGTCAGAAATCATCTCTCTGTAGATAATACATATAACTACAGAGAACACCAAAAAGGTAATAAACAAATCCTATTTTTTTCTGATCGAATTAACTGTTCCTATACATACACAATATATCCACACACACATGCACATACTTTTAAAGCCTGTTTTTAAGGGGGAACCTAGATTATTAATTCCTAAAAAGCAACGGCTAGGGGGAAAATCTACCTTTCTAGAAATTTCTGGAGACAAGTGTGCTCCCATGGAGAGCTTTCTCCTGTTCTGACCTACTCATGGAATTGACAATCAGTAATTAGCCAATTATCAAATAGCCAATCACCAAGTCATTTAGAATGGGCAGCATATGAGACACGTGTGGCTGTCTCTCCCAAAAGGAAGAGGCATATTCAATATTTCATGTATTTATGTCTTTCTTAACACGCATGGAAAAACACTTGGTTGCTTCCAGGAAAATGCCAAACCAACGAGGGATATCTTCACATAGAAGCAAGGTTTGATGCTTTTCCAGATCCACCCATGCATTCACATAACAAGAGAACCAAATGCAATTCATATCCAGCAAACAATAAAGAAAAGTAAAATGAAGGTTGACTCAGCCTTCCATCCTACAAGATTGTAAAATGAGGACCCAGATTGTTGAGGGCAATATGCAAATAATGCTGACTTTTCTAAACCTCCCAGAGAGTGCTGTAAAACACTATGGGGTGGTACTATTGTTATTGCTAAAGAAAAAAAATACCTTTTCACTACTGAATATTGCATTAACATTCTGTGGTTTAATATCCAACTAACTGTTTCTGATTTTGAGGAAAGGAATACTCTAGGACAGGGGTAAGCAACCTTGGCTCTTTTATGATTCGTGGACGTCAACGAATCATAGCTGGCTCAGGAATTCTGGGAGTTGACGTCCACGAGTCATAAAAGAGCCAAGGTTGCCTACCCCTGCTCTAGGATTTCTTCTATAAGGGTGTTTTTTTAATCAGTTATTTAAATCACTCACAGTTGGCTTTAAGACATGAAAAGGAGGTTATGGAACTTACCACTTGTTTCTTCAGGATGAGCTGTTCAGAAAATAAAATATGTAAATCATATTACTCATATTAATTGTCGATACTATTATAACCAGTCATTAAAATCTGGTGTGATTACAACGAAAATGTGATAGTGAACTGAATTTTCTCAAAGCCATCATGAGGGTCAGTGTAAAGGCAGAATAGAAGGAAGGAGAGAAGAATAAAATAACAAAGGCAGTAATATGGTCACTTACATTCCCCAGTTTAGAACATTCCCACCAAATAATACACAACACTTTCCATATGTGATTTTGTTTTGGGATTGGAATAATGAAAAATGATTGATCCTGAAATAGACATCTCAGCACATATACCTGCACAGTAATGTACAAATGAATGCTTGGCAGTTAAAACTTATTTACACCTCAGAGTAAAATGGCAGGCTTTCCTAACATGGATTTCTCCAAATGAAATGGGACTGAAGTTCCCAGAAACAAGATAAACTATCTATAGTATTTAGAGTTTGGTAATATTGTTGAAATCTCTGGACTAAGCTTGAATGTCTATCCTATTTTAATGTAACCCTCTTGAATTGTATAAATTGTTCTTAATTCCTGAGCAAAGAGTAAACATGACAATTTATGATCCATCGCACAAGTAGCCTGGATTTGGCATTTTTGACCACCTTTCAAGTCCTTCCCAAGGACCTGGGATAGGCAGATGTGGATGTTTGATTGTGTTGCATATATTGTTGCAGGATGTATGTTGTTCCAAGTAAAGCTGCTTTTTGCAATTGACTGATGATGAATTTGTCAGTGCTGATGGTGTTCAAATGGTGTTCCAGTTGTTTTGGGATTGCATCTGTTACTATTGGTACTACCTTTGCTTTCTTTTGCCATAGTAGTTCTATTATTATTTAGTTGATTATTTAGTTTAGTTTACTTATTATTTGCAAACAATATTTTTTAAACCTCTTGGAAAACTATAGATTGAGAGTACAAACTTACTTGTGAGTTCAACTCTTGGCAATGGAGTTGTGAAAGCCGCTGATAAGAAAAAAAAATCTATTAATCTTTGCCCAACATCCTTAGTTAACAGTTATGAGTTATTTGTAAAAAATAATAATGATGAGATACAAATAAGTAAATAAATCTCAGTGGTTTTCTCTGCTTTTCTACTGTTTTTCCTACCAATAGCCCTAGAAGCTCCTTCCCATTCATTGTCTTCTCAGTTCTAAACCTTAAAAACTTTAAGTTATCTGGGCTTTAGCATGCTGGCTGAGGAATTCTGGGAGTTGATGTCCAGACATCTTAAAGTTGTCAAGGTGAAAAACACAGCTCGAAAGGACAGAACGATTGTACTGATTAAAATAATTTCAAAATGACCACAATTGTCATAGATAGATTGTGAAAAGATTCTTGTCCATTTGAAATAAGAACTTTACAAGGCTAAAAAGAAACAAAGTAAGCCACTCTCAGTTTAAATAGTTATAAAATTCCTTTGATGAGACACACATGCGATTCTACATAATGAAGAGGTGAGGGTAATGTTGATGAAGGTAAAAATAATTTTTAAAAAATACATAAATAAAAACAAAACAAAACAAAAACCCTTCAAATGTAGACTCCATGAACCACTAGGTCTTTTTCTGCCATCAGTTTTCTATGTTTCTATGGCTGACTGCAGCATATCTGCAGATTGAGATTGTATCATGGGCAGTCTCATAAAATGATTATTTGGTAGCCATTTATAAAACTTTGTCATGGAGAATTTAGCCAGAAAGCAAACTGGGGGAGGATCTCCTTATCATTGCTATAGCCCACCAGAATACGTCTTACAATCCTACAGCTTCAGGTTGCACTGAATTGTAATTATGTTTTGCTTGTTTTAAGGACTAATGAGCCCAAGAATTCTTCTCAGAAATAACAGTAATATTGGATTTTAGATGGTTTGCTTTGTGTGCCACAGGATCTTTTTCTGCCATCAGGTTTCTATGTCACTATGTTTCTATTTTCACAAATCAGTGCTTTCAAAATTCATCTTAGGAAGATTCATGGCAACTACATCATTTTCATCTAGTTTAGAGTCCCCTAAGAGCATGTATGGCAGGGTTTCCAACCAATGTTCCCTATAAAGAAAGTTGGTTCCAACTTCAGTTG